AAAGATTGTTCCAAAATTATTTTCTTTAATTTTAAAGGCTTTATTTCCAAAATCCATTACATTTTGATTTCAAATCAATTTCATTTGTGAAAATTTATTAAAATGCTTAATATATGTTTTCTTTGTTAACAATTTAAAGGCATTGATCATTACAAGAAAATGGGTTTTTGTAATGGTTGAATCAATCACAAAAACTCATATTTTAGTTATAAATTGCATTTGTGTCTAAAATTTAGTTAGTCACTATCCATCACAAATATTAAGTCACTAAAACTAATTGTAAGTAATTTTGCAATAGTGATAAAAAAAATGATTTTAATGACAAGAAAAATAAACATAATTACTAGTTTGTTTGTAACAATTATTTGTGTGTTACAATTAAGATTATTTGTGTCAAAATAATTAGATACAAAAGGTACCTTATTTGTTTTTTTGATCAGTAAAAGTGCCTTATTTGTAATCTTTATATCTTATCAAAAAAAGAGTTCCTTTAATGTGACAAAAAAAAATTGTCACAAACTTATTTGTGATAGAGTTTTTAAGTCCCTAATAATTTTATTTCAAATTAAAAAAATTCAATTCTTAAAAAAAATTCAAAAAATTTCAATACAAATTAATATCAAATTAAGTATTATAAACATTATTTATTTAAAATACATTTATTTTTCATTTAATAATTATAATAACTACTAATTAAAATATTCAAAAGGCCTAAAATAAAATTATTTGCACAAGCCCAAAACTTCAAGACTTAAAAGATGTGTTAAATATATTTTAGGTCTTTCATTATATAAAATATTAGTAAATTAAACCTTTTGTTTTTAAACAAGGTGAGATTAGACACTTCTTTATATAGAATAGTAAGTTTTATTTTTCATTCCTGGGATAATATAAGATTCTTAATTTGTTTCATTCCACAATTTTACTGACATACCTATAAAAGAATAAAAGATGTATCAAATAAGAACAATAAAAAAACTCATCAAATTAAATGCAAATTTTTTTATCTATGTGGTCCCACCGAACTATAGTACTGTCGCTATGCTGAAATGGGAATTTAACTCTAATCATGAACATTATTTATCTTACACTTTGAAGCAAATTATTTTAGAAATGGGAATGGGATTGGACCATTGAAGTGGAATTATAAGTCAATACGCCTACGTTGATGAAGAACATGCATATTCTTTGTTTTGAGATTGTTAGTCAAAGAAAGAAAAACCTCTACTTGATTTGTAATGATTATATATATCTATATATATATATAGCATACAACAATCTTCATGAAGTTGTTGTTTCCAAGAAAAAAATAATACTAAAATTTAATAGATTATACACTTATATTTAACTTACTATCATCAAATTGAATACAATTTTACTTATGACATTGTTGGTGCAAGTATGGAGAAATAATGTTCCTACATATGATTATGTGAAAGAAAGCTATCCTATCCCTACAAGTATATGTTATACGTTTGTATTCTTGTATATATGCTTGAGTGATGTAATCTTTTATAGAGTTGGTATAGTGCATAAATTCAATATTAATATAATTTGTAAGAGTAAAAGTATTACTTATACTTCTACTTTAGTAATAAATTTTGTTTTTAATAAAGGGAAAAAAGCCCCTAAGAATGTGTAAAATTTTTATGGACTAATTATGACAGAAAAACTTATTACTTCTTGTGATTATTTTTAATGATGAATA